TTGTCTGTTTATGTTATGTGCCCATCTGTATGTATGTCTCAGTCTCTGGGAGTCAGGTATGTAGTCATCCAGATACACAGAAACACTGGCAGACTGAACGAGTCGAAATTTTATTTTTGACGAGTCGCAGATTGGGCACGCAGGCCTGTCTTAAGTTCGGCTGGTCCAGACAGTCAACTGACATCATCAACTGTATTGTTTATCATATAATGCTCCTACAGCTCAAACCACAATATGGCTGTAGGGTCATAAATACAAAGCCATGAAAGGCAAATGCACGTATTCCAATATACAAACACATGTACTCACACATATTCACCCACAATTCACACTTTACCTACATATACACAAGTATATGTCCACACACACACACACACGTAAATCCATGTGCCTGCGAACACTCTTTTACCTCCACGTAAAATACCCACAAGCACACACAAGCTCAGACATACATGCATACATACATACATACATACATACATACATACCTACCTACCTACCTACCTACCTACCTACCTACCTACCTACCTACCTACCTACCTACCTACCTACCTACCTACCTACCTACCTACCTACCTACCTACCTACCTACCTACCTACCTACCTACCTACCTACCTACCTACCTACACTACATACCTACATACATACATACATACATGATACTACATACATACATACATACATACATACATACATACATACATACAGACATACATACATACATACATACATACATACATACACATACATACATACATACATACATACATACATACATACATAGATACATACAGACAACATACATACATACATACATACATACATACATACATACATACATACATACATACATACATACAGACATACATACATACATACCATACATATACATACATACTACATACACATACATACATACATACATACACATACATACATACATACATACATACATAACATACATACATACATACATCATACATACATACATACATACATACATACAGACATACATACATAACATACATACATACATACATACATACATACATACATACATACATACATACATACATACATACATAACATACATACATACATACATACATACATACATACATACATACATACATACATACATACATACATACATACATACATACATACATACATACATACATACATACATACATACATACATACATACATACATACATACATACATACAGACATACATACATACATACATACATACATACATACATACATACATACATACATACATACATACATACATACATACATACATACATACATACATACATACATACATACATACATACATACATACATACATACAGACATACATACATACATACATACATACATACATACATACATACATACATACATACATACATACATACATACATACATACATACATACATACATACATACATACATACATATACATACATACAATGTACATACATACATACATACATACATACATACATACATACATACATACATACATACATACATACATACATACATACATACATACATACGACATACATACATACATACATACATACATACATACATACATACATACATACATAACATACATACATACATACATACATACACATACATACATACATACATACATACATACATACATACATACATACATACATACATACATACATACATACATACATACAGACATACATAACATACATACATACATACATACATACATACATACATACATACATACATACATACATACATACATACATACATACATACATACATACATACATACATACATACATACATACATACATACATACATACATACATACATACATACATACATACATACATACATACATACATACATACATACATACATACATACATACATACATACATACATACATACATACATACATACATACATACATACATACATACATATCTAACAAGAAAGTCTTTGGTACGTGTCTGGCAAGAAAGTCTGGGGTACGTGTCTAACATCCACCAATAATGCACGAAATTATACACCCAAAAAATTCATGCACACACTCACATGCAAACAAATATACTCACCAATCCACTTACATAAACACCTACATACATTACTCACACACACACACACACACACACATACATATATATATATATATATATATATATATATATATATATATATATATATATATATATAATGTATATATTAATATAATACATCGCTCAATAACACAATAACTCACTGATGCCTACACATACATACAATTATACACATCCAATAATACATACCCACATTCATATGTATATGCACACACACATACACACACCCACACACTCATACAGACATAAACACAGTCTGACACACATACACACTCCACCCAAATCCACACACTCTCTGACATACCGACATAAGACAGACACATGGAAAGACTGATACACACAGAAAATCAGACACATAGACATACCGACAGCCAGACAGACTAATACACATTGACATGCAGACAGTTAGACAGACTAATACACATTGACATGCAGACAGTTAGACAGACTAATACACATTGACATGCAGACAGTTAGACAGACTAATACACATTGACATGCAGACAGTTAGACAGACTAATACACATTGACATGCAGACAGTCAGACAGACTAATACACATTGACATGCAGACAGTTAGACAGACTAATACACATTGACATGCAGACAGTTAGACAGACTAATACACATTGACATGCAGACAGTTAGACAGACTAATACACATTGACATGCAGACAGTTAGACAGACTAATACACATTGACATGCAGACAGTTAGACAGACTAATACACATTGACATGCAGACAGTTAGACAGACTAATACACATTGACATGCAGACAGTTAGACAGACTAATACACATTGACATGCAGACAGTTAGACAGACTAAGACTCACATGCACAGACAGACAACCATTGACATGCAGACATCATACAGACTAATACACAGAAATGCAGACATAGACAGACTAATACACATTGACATGCAGTATGACTCATGCACACAGACAGACACATAGACTGACACTCGAAATAACAGACAAGCAAAAAGCAGTATGAGCTACAAGCAGACACACAGACTGACACTCGGACAGACAAGCAGACACACAGACTGACACTCGGACAGACAAGCAGACACACATACTGACACTTGGACAGACAAGCAAACACACAGACTGACACTCGGACAGACATAAAGACACACGGGCATACATACATACGGACAGAAGCACAGCTGACACAGACACACACAGACAGACAGGTAGACAGACAGGCAGACCGACAGAACAGACACAGATAATAGACACACAGAGTCGGACAGACACATAAACATATCTATAGGCACATAGATTTGCATATAACCTTTATACTGTTTATACTGACATATAGGAATATGTAAATGTAGGGCCATCTCCGCAGATGACAGCGGCTACACGTTTAGAGTGGTAGTTGTTGTTTCGTCGTCGGGCTGGCAATGGAGTTAGGAACGACCTTGAGTCAGGTCTGTAGGGTGGTAGTTGTCGTTGTCCTGCTGGCAATGGAGTCAGGTCTGTAGGGTGGTAGTTGTTGTTGTCAGTAGGGTGTAGGGTGGTAGTTGTTGTTGTCAGTAGGGTGTAGGGTGGTAGTTTTTGTTGTCAGTAGGGTGTAGGGTGGTAGCTGTTGTTGTCAGTAGGGTGTAGGGTGGTAGTTGTTGTTGCTGTCCTGCTGGCAGCTGAGTCAGTGTTGTAGTCGTGTTTCCCGTTCGGGTTTCCTTGCCTACTTATCCATAGCTTTCGTTTGTCTGCAAAACACTCACCACAGAGACGGTCCTGTAGCCCACCTGTATAATCTCACGTGAGATGGAACCAATGTGTGATCTTCCCTACCAGTGGACAGGTGACCCGACGGGTTCAGGCCGCTGCCTCAGCAAGAGCCGGACCAAGGTCAAGTTGCAAACATTTGTGTCCAGGAAATAATACCACTAGATCCCTGGACAGGGCATCAGACGCCAGGAAATAATACCACTACATCCCCAGACAGGGCATCAGACGCCAGAAAATAAAAAAAAAACTAGATCTCCGGACAGGGCATCAGACGCCAGGAAATAATACCACTAGATCCCTGGACAGGGCATCAGAACCCAGCAAATAATACCACTAGATCCACGGAGAGGGCATCAGACCCCAGCAAATAATACCACTAGATCCCCGGAGAGGGCATTAGACCCCAGCAAATAATACCACTAGATCCCTGGAGAGGGCATCAGACCCCAGCAAATAATACCACTAGATCCCCGGAGAGGGCATTAGACCCCAGCAAATAATACCCCTAGATCCCTGGAGAGGGCATCAGACCCCAGCAAATAATACCACTAGATCCCTGGAGAGGGCATCAGACGCCAGGAAATAATATCACTAAATCCCTGATCAGGGCATCAGACGCCCAGTTCTCTCAGATTATGTGACAAAATACTGGAAGACCACACACACATACACACATACACACACGCACACATATATATATATATATGGCGTCAATAGCTTATCCGGATGTTGAAATCAAAGGTAAACCATCCCACATAGTTCTCTCAAGAAGAAGTGTGCGGACAGACACTATGATACATTGTGTCAGAGATTATAGGACGCCTGTCTCTGACAGCTGACCACTCGACTAATCTCTGCCTTCACGTTATGTTCCCAGCCCCCAGCTCCCAGCCCCCAGCTCCCAGCCCAAATCCCCAGCTCCCAGCTCCCAGCCCCTAGCCTCCCCTGTCCGACTCTAACTGGTGGCCGCTCACTGAATGGTCATCTACACACGATCACCAGCTGATCATCCCTCTAATGTCCTCCTGGTATACCTATTGTCTCCAGTCTTCCTCTGATGTACACATTCCCTCCAATGTCCCTCTGGTGAACACATTCTCTCCAATGTCCCCCAAATTCAGTTGTCCACCCCGATGTCCGGCAAGCAAACGTGGCCGGAGATGAGGAAGCCGTCCTTGACCTCGTCACTGTCGCTCATATCAACATCCGGGTCATTGACCTCCACCTCGCTGTCAATGTCAAGGCTAGCGGGACTGTTTCCAAGGTCAAGGTTATAGTCAGGTGAAGCTGTCTGTAGGCGCTCCTGTTGGCAAGGTAACATTGGCATCACAACGTTGCCCGGGGACACGTTAGCCAGCTGGTCAAGCGAGACCGAGGCTGGGTATTCATGACAACAATCCGGGACTGCTAGCCGATCAGACATGTCTGCTACGGAAGACTGAGCCATTTGGCCACCTAGCAAGGGCTCTGGTACAAACAGTCGAAGGTCCTGGGGGGAGGTAGAAACCAGTCTGCTTTGAGTTTCACGAAGCCGCTTTGGCTGACGCAGCTCACTTCTGAGGGCGTCTGTGTCTGCCAGGTCAACACCAGAAGTATTGTCAAGCGAGCACTCAGATCCGTCCATGTCAACAGTCGCAGCCACCCTGGCAGTGGCAGCTCCGGGTGTCTGGAGCTGGCAACTGTCACTGTCTTTTTGATTGTTCTCATCTACTTGCTGCTGGTCGGTCGGCTGGGTGGGCTTCTCTTTTTCCCCCTGCTGTTGTGCGTGTCGCCACTTCATCCGTCGGTTCTGGAACCAGACTTTAACCTGTAAGAGACAAGAAAGAAATGAGTAACTATCTGAGGTTCTTCATACATCACACTTGTCTATATAATGACACGAGAGTCGCTGGCAGTTGTCTCATACGTCACACTTGTTTATATAATGACGTGAGAGTCGCTGGCAGGTGTCTCATACGTCACACTTGTCTATATAATGACGTGAGAGTCGCTGGTAGGTGTCTCATACGTCACACTTGTCTATATAATGACATGAGAGTCGCTGGTAGGTGTCTCATACGTCACACTTGTCTATATAATGACATGAGAGTCGCTGGTAGGTGTCTCCTACGTCACACTTGTCTATATAATGACATGAGAGTCGCTGGCAGGTGTCTCATACGTCACACTTGTCTATATAATGACATGAGAGTCGCTGGCAGGTGTCTCATACGTCACACTTGTCTATATAATGACATGAGAGTCGCTGGTAGGTGTCTCCTACGTCACACTTGTCTATATAATGACATGAGAGTCGCTGGCAGGTGTCTCATACGTCACACTTGTATGCAGTGTTTCCTATTAGAAAATGTAACTTAATGTCTGCTGGCAACAAATGGAATGTAATCTTTAATATTTGTTGTTCTAACCTTTGCTGATAAAATATTATCCTCAAAATAAAGAAGAGCTGCTGAGCAAGGGTGAAGGCTGATCAGACAAACGTCAGAGCCAAGACCTAAACCACCCTTTACCCTAGGGACCCCACCATCTGTTGGTTGTGATTGTGCTGCAGGACATGGCAGAAGAAGGCCGGCCACTGGTCACCAGTCACAGTTGCCGGGCATAAGCAGACAACATACCCGCACCAACCCACAAATTGCGTGAGGCAGTCACGCCAGTGTATTCCCATTCGCCTGCCTGCAACATACAGGCCTGCCGCTGGATCGTGTTTCACTAATTGACTAATTCAGTCGGTCACAAACGTCCTAACAATCTGGCAAGTGTCGAGAAAACTCGACTGTAAAACTTGTTGACCCCCAGAGGTGGCCGGGCCGCTCGCAGACTTGCAGGTCTGGCTCGGTGCTCAGATAGAGCTCAGTTCACTCGCTCGTGCATTTCAGAGGGCAAACACGGGCCATCCGTTGCATGTGATATAGGCTAGCTTGTGGCAGAAGGTAGCTATACGTAGAAAGTAGCAATCCCTCGTGTAGCCTGATATATATGTGTATATATGTAGTCCCTAGTGTAGCCTGATGTATATGTGTATATATGTAGTCCCTAGTGTAGCCTCATATATATGTGTATATATGTGGTCCCTAGTGTAGCCTCATATATATGTGTATATATGTGGTCCCTAGTGTAGCCTCATATATATGTGTATATATGTGGTCCCTAGTGTAGCCTCATATATATGTGTATATATGTAGTCCCTAGTGTAGCCTCATATATATGTGTATATATGTAGTCCCTAGTGTAGCCTCATATATATGTGTATATATGTGGTCCCTTGTGTAGCCTCATATATATGTGTATATATGTAGTCCCTGTGTAGCCTCATATATATGTGTATATATTAGTCCTCTGTGTAGCCTCATATATTATGGTGATATATGTAGTCCCTAGTCCCTAGTGTAGCCTCATATATATGTGTATATATGTAGTCCCTAGTGTAGCCTCATATATATGTGTATATATATGTAGTCCCTTGTGTAGCCTCATATATATGTGTATGTATGTAGTCCTAGTGTAGCATTCATTAAATATATATGTGTATATATTGTCCCTGTGTAGCCTCATATATATGTATATAGATGTAGTCCCTGTGTAGCTTAATCATCATCATCCCGTAACACTGCGTGTCGTTAGGTCACCAGTTTCTGTTGACTGTCTGATCAGCGCTCTCCACCTTTGGCGGTCAGTTGCGATGGACTTCACGGTTGCATGCATGAGCCCTGTCCAGTCAGCCAGGTTCTGTAACCAGATTTGTCTTGGTCTGCCTCTTCTCCTCTTTCCCTCTACTGAGCCCTACAGTCTTGTTTTTGAGAGGCCGTTAGATCTGATTACATGTCCATACCGTTGCATTTTCGCCTTTTCACTGTAGTTAAAAGAGGTTCATAGTTGATAATGTGCTGTACAATTTTATGACGAACATCTTCGTTTATAATGTGGCCTCTGTATGAAATGCCAAGAATTTTTCTGAAACATCGTATTTTTAATGCTTGTATCTTTCTTTCAACTTCAGCTGTTAAGGTCCAGGTTTCACAGCCATATTTAAATGTACTAAAAGCTAGTGCTCTGAGCAATCAAGTCTTAGTTTTGCATGAAATATTTTTAGATAGCCATAATGTTTGCTGCTTGGCCAGGACTGATGTTGTCTGGCCAGGACTGATGTTGTCTGGCCAGGACTGATGTCTGACCAGGACTGATTTTGTCTGGCCAGGACTGATGTCTGACCAGGACTGATGTTGTCTGGCCAGGACTGATGTCTGACCAGGAGTGATGTTGTCTGACCAGGACTGATGTTGTCTGGCCAGGACTGTTGTTGTCTGGCCAGGACTGATGTTGTCTGGCCAGGACTGTTGTTGTCTGGCCAGGACTGATGTTGTCTGACAAGGACTGATGTTGTCTGACCAGGACTGATGTTGTCTGGCCAGGACTGTTGTTGTCTGGCCAGGACTGATGTTGTCTGGCCAGGACTGTTGTTGTCTGGTCAGGACTGTTGTTGTCTGGCCAGGACTGTTGTTGTCTGGCCAGGACTGTTGTTGTCTGGCCAGGACTGTTGTTGTCTGGCCAGGACTGTTGTTGTCTGGCCAGGACTGTTGTTGTCTGGCCAGGACTGTTGTTGTCTGGCCAGGACTGTTGTTGTCTGGCCAGGACTGTTGTTGTCTGGCCAGGACTGTTGTTGTCTGGCCAGGACTGTTGTTGTCTGGCCAGGACTGATGTTGTCTGACAAGGACAGATGTTGTCTGGCAAAGACTGATGTTGTCTGGTAAGGACTGAGGTTGTCTGGTAAGGACTGATGTTGTCTGGCCAGGACTGATGTTGTCTGGACAATCCTAGACATGATTTCTGGTCTTGGCCCCAGGTCACAGGAAATGGATCCTACATTTGTGAAATGAGTCACTTGTTCTAATGTGTGGCCTTTAATGCAAATTTGTGAAATTCTGCCAGCTGGATTATGAGTCATTATTTTGTGTTTTTTTCTGCGTTTATTTCCATGCCATACTTGGTTGATGTTTCATCGAGTAGATTTACAAGCTCCACTAGTTCTTGTTCTTCTCCAGCCAATCCATCAATGTCACCAGCAAACCTTCAGTTTGGAGATTAATTGTTCCACGATGTTTTTCTAGGGCATCAACAATTATTCTTCCAAAAAAGGTTTTAAAGAGTGTTGGAGAGAGGATACGGCCCTGCCGGACTCCTACTGTTGTTCAGCACCAACTTCCAATTTGTCATTTCAGCGTGACAGCACTGCTGGCCTTGGCATAGAGGTGTTCTATAGAACATATGTGTTTTACTCATACTGTGTAATATATATATATGTGTGTGCGTGTGTATCCGCATATATATATAGACAGATTTATGTATATACTGTTGTGTGCTAAATTTCCTTTGCAGTTCAATTGTACTAGGGGTCGGAGGCGTGATCGCCTGCGCCGATAGTGAAGGCGCTGGATGATGATGATAACGGCCGATGCGAGTGCAAAAGGCCCACACGGTTAAATTTAGAGACGGGTGTTTATCGAGTTTAGCGAATTACAGCGGATTGGCGGGTTTTGCCAGACTCATGCATGACTAAGCGCTGAGCTAAAAGTTAGCTCCGTCCAGTCTATGAAACTTCTACAGGACAAAACATCTATGAAACTTCTGAAGGAGACAACATCTATTAAACTTCTACAGGACCAAACATCTATGAAACTTCTACAGGACAAAACATCTATGAAACTTCTACAGGACAAAACATCTATGAAACTTCTACAGAAGAAAACATCTATGAAACTTCTACAGGACAAAACATCTATGAAACTTCTACAGGGCAAAACATGTATGAAACTTCTACAGGACAAAACATGTATAAAACTTCTACAGGACAAAACATGTATGAAACTTCTACAGGACACAACATCTATTAAACTTCTACAGGACAAAACATCTATTAAACTTCTACAGGACAAAACATGTATTAAACTTCTACAGGACAAAACATCTATTAAACTTCTACAGGACAAAACATCTATTAAACTTCTACAGGACAAAACATGTATTAAACTTCTACAGGACACAACATCTATCAAACTTCTACAGAACAAAACATGTATTAAACTTCTAGAGAATAAAGCTTTTATAAAATTTTCTGGATAAAACATCTATTAAACTTCTACAAGTCAAAATATTCATTAAACTTCTACAGGGCGAAAGATTTATTAAACTTTTACAAGTCAAAACATCTAATTAATCTTCTAAGTGCCAAAACATGTATTAAACTTTCAAGACAAAACTATAAAACTTCTACACGTCGAAACATCTATGAAACTTGTGCAGGACAAACTGTGTATTCAACTTGCAATTGTTACAAACTGTAGAAACCCTCTGCTGTGCTGACTCCCACAAACTGTAGAAACCCTCTGCTGTGCTGACTCCCACAAACCGTAGAAACCCTCTGCTGTGCTGACTCCCACAAACTGTAGAAACCCTCTGCTGTGCTGACTCCCACCAAGTTCAGGCTGTGTCCAGCTCATGAGACATGGATGGTAATCTCCTTGTGTTGATCAATCAGCGCTTGCAATCAATTATATCGTCCGGATAGATGTCAGGCATTATTGTATAACTGATCACGGCAGTTTTATTGTGGAATTTTGTTCTTACGATAGACTGCAGAATACCACGTGTGACACAGCAGAATACCACCTGTGACACTGTAGAATACCACCTGTGAGACAGCACAATACCACCTGTGACACAGCAGAATACCACCTGTGAGACTGTAGAATACCACCTGTGAGACTGTAGAATACCACCTGTGAGACAGCAGAATACCACCTGTGAGACAGCAGAATACCACCTGTGAGACAGCAGAATACCACCTGTGAGACAGCAGAATACCACCTGTGAGACAGCAGAATACCACCTGTGAGACTGTGGAATACCACCTGTGAGACTGTAGAATACCACCTGCGAGACAGCAGAATACCACCTGTGACACAGCAGAATACCACCTGTGACACAGCAGAATACCACCTGTGACACTGTAGAATACCACCTGTGAGACAGCACAATACCACCTATGAGACAGCAGAATACCACCTGTAAGACAGCAGAATACCATCTGTGAGACAGCTGAATACCACCCGTGAGACAGCAGAATACCACCTGTGAGACAGCACAATCCCACCTGTGAGACAGCAGAATACCACCTGTGAGACAGCAGAATACCACCTGTGAGACAGCAGAATACCACCTGTGAGACTGCAGAATACCACCTGTAAGACAGCAGAATACCATCTGTGAGACAGCAGAATACTACTTGTCAGACTGCAGAATACTACCTGTGAGACAGCAGAATACCACCTGTGAGACAGCAGAATACCACCTGTGAGACATCAGAATACCACATGTGAGACAGCAGAATACTACCCGTAGGACAGCAGAATATCACATGTGAGACTCCAGAACACCACATGTGAGACAGCAGAATACCACCTGTGAGATTGCAGAATACCATCTGTGAGATTGCAGAAAACCACCTGTAATAGTGCAGAATACCCCCTGTGAGATTGCAGAAAACCACCTGTGAGATTGCAGAATACCACCTGTGAGATTGCAGAATACCACCTGTGAGATTGCAGAAAACCACCTGTGAGATTGCAGAATACCACCTGTGAGATTGCAGAAAACCACCTGTGAGATTGCAGAATACCACCTGTGAGATTGCAGAATACCACCTGTGAGACAGCAGAAAACCACCTGTGAGATTGCAGAATACCACCTGTGAGACAGCAGAATACCAACTGTGAGATTGCAGAATACCACCTGTGAGATTGCAGAATACTACCTGTGAGATTGCAGAATACCAGATGTGACTGCAGAGTACTACCTGTGAGATTGCAGAAAACCACATGTGAGACAGCAGAATACCACATGTGAGACTGTTGAATACCACCTGTGAGATTGCAGAATCCCACCTGTGAGACAGCAGAATACCACCTGTGAAACAGCAGAATACCACCTGTGAGACAACAGAATACCACCTGTGAGATTGCAGAATACCACCTGTGAGACTGCACGAGGGCACCACTGGGTTGACGCTAATAAACACTCACTACTTCCGGTCAAAATGGACACTAGGCAAGGTCACTGTTGTGAACCGTTGCAAATTTTTTTTGCTTGTGCAAGATGGTTGCCCGCCCATTTTTGCTCCATTTGTAGACTGAAAGCTTCTGAGTTAAGTGCATAGCGTGACACTGTGAGCTGCTGATTTCATTTGGAATGTTTTTCTACTTTGACCAACGTGGTGGTGTAAATTGTAGATTCATCAAATGACGCTATTCTATCCCTATTATCGCAATGTTGGTGGTGCCTTTATGTGATTAAAATTGATCGCGTGGGCAACTGCTGATCTGTTGGTGACTTCTGCTACCATCAATTATGAACTGCATTTCTAATGTCAGATTGTTTGTGTTAGCACTTTGGATGGCTACCGTATACTTTTAATACGTGTGTATGCTAAACATGCTGAGACAGCAGTTTGTCAGTCTTTCCACAAGAGACTGTGGTAGTCATTCTGTGTGTTTTTCGTTGGCACAGGAGCAGAGCAACTATGGGGTGACCCGTTTGCTATGAAGCTGAAACTAAGATAACCAGATTACCCTGCCTGCACTAACACACCCTGCCTGCACTGACACAACCTGCCTGCACTGACACAACCTGCCTGCACTGACACAACCTGCCTGCACTAACACACCCTGCCTGCACTAACACAACCTGCCTGCACTGACACAACCTGCCTGCACTGACACAACCTGCCTGCACTAACACACCCTGCCTGCACTAACACACTCTGCCTGCACTAACACAACCTGCCTGCACTAACACAACCTGCCTGCACTAACACACCCTGCCTGCACTAACACACCCTGCCTGCACTAACACACCCTGCCTGCACTAACACACCCTGCCTGCACTAACACACCCTGCCTGCACTAACACACCCTGCCTGCACTGACACACCCTGCCTGCACTAACACACCCTGCCTGCACTGACACAACCTGCCTGCACTAACCTGAGCGTCTGTGAGTCCCAACATGGCGGCTAGCTGGCGACGGTCCGGCTTGGTGACGTACTTCTGCACCTCGAAGCGTTTCTCCAGCCCCTTGCGCTGAAGGTTGGAAAACACAGCCCTCGACCATGATCGTTTCCGTTTAGGCTGGTTTGCCAGGGCACTCTCCGTGCTGAGTATTGAATAAGGGCCTGCAGAAACATACAGGCTTGATAGAACAGCTGGTTTCACACACACACATACACACACACATACAGGCTTGATAGAACAGCTGGTTTCACACACACACATACAGGCTCGATAGAACAGCTGGTTTCACACACACACATACAGGCTCGATAGAACAGCTGGTTTCACACACACACATACACACACACATACAGGCTCGATAGAACAGCTGGTTCCACACACACATACACAAACAGGCTCGATAGAACAGCTGGTTCCATACACACATACAGGCTCGATAGAACGGCTGGTTCAACACACACACATACAGGCTTAATAGAACAGCTGGTTCAACACTCACACACACACACACACACGTACAGGCTCAATAGAACAGCTGGTTCAACACACATTCACACACACACACACATCTCGACTGCTCCCTGTCTGAGGGACACGATCGACCCCTGTCTGAGGGACTCGACTGTCTCCTGTCTGAGGAACTCGACCGACCGCTGTCTGAGGGACTCGACTGACCCCTGTCTGCGGGACACGACTGCTCCCTGTCTGAGGGACTCGACTGCCTCCTGTCTGAGGGACACGACTGACCCCTGTCTGATGGACACGGCTGCCCCCTGTCTGAGGGACACGACTGACTCCTGTCTGAGGGACACGACTGACCCCTGTCTGAGGGACACGACTGACCCTGTCTGAGGGACTCGACTGACCCCTGTCTGAGGGACACGACTGATCCCTGTCTGAGGGACACGACTGCCCCCTGTCTAAGGGACACGACTGACCCCTGTCTGGTCTGATATTATCAGTTATTGAAACAAATCTCTTGGTCTGATGTCATTTAAAGATAAAATATAGTTGTCTGATATCACTATATCTTACGTTAAAATCTGGTTGTCTGATAAAACCATATCTTACGTTAAAATCTAGCTGTCTGATATCACCATATATTACGTTAAAATCTAGTTGTCTGATATCAGCATATCTTACGTTAAAATCTAGTTGTCTGATAAAACCACATATTTCGTTAAAATCTAGTTGTCTGATAAAACCATAACTTACGTTAAAATATAGTTGTCTGATAAAACCATATCTTACGTTAAAATCTAGTTGTCTGATAAAACCATATCTTACGTTAAAATAGTTATCTGATATCACCATGTCTTACGTTAAAATCTAGTTATCTGATATCACAATATCTTACGTTAAAATCTAGTTGTCTGATAAAACCATATCTTACGTTAAAATATAGTTGTCTGATAAAACCATATCTTACGTTAAAATCTAGTTGTCTGATAAAACCATAACTTACGTTAAAATATAGTTGTCTGATATCTCCATATCTTACGTTAAAATCTAGTTAATAAAACCACAACTTAGTCAGACCAAGAACTGGAGCAAGACGAAAACAAGCTGGGAAACAGATGCCAACACTGTACGATAATTATACACAGCATAAGTACGACCAAAACTGGAGTATGGTATGCGAGCACGTTGCACTGCAGCCAAGTCATCAACTGAACAAAATACAGAACACTGGTCTCAGAACCATTCCTGCAGGTATGAGAAGCACACCAGTCAATGAGGTGGAGGCAACTTCCGGCCTTCTAAGGGACGAAAAGGTGCTCACCCTAACAGAAAAATGTAAACGCATGAACAACAACCCCATGCACAAATAGCAAATAACTAAAAAACCGACTGAAAAGTCATAGCTTGTATCATCTATCTAACATCCTTTCTAAAGATCCTTTAACAAGGGAAACGATCCAGGCATACAGCATAGACCTACAGGCTAACTATCTTCATCATCATCATCATGTAGCAGGTCCTTTGCAGAACGTCGCTCTCATCACAGTCTGCCTAAAAGAAACAGTCTCTCAGCAGTTCTCCCGCCTCATGCACTTTCATATTCAAGGAGTCACTTATATCCTGTGCCCATCTTTGTGTTGGTCGGCCCCTGCCCCTCCTTCGTGGTACCATGCATTCTGCTATAATTTTTTTCCAATCCGTCGTGGCGCTTGATATGACCAAAATATTTCAACTTTCGAGAAAGGATGCTGTTTATTAGCCAATCTTCCTTGATGTTCAGATCTTTTAAGATGTCAATTTTTCTCCTCTTCTTTGTACAAGATATTCTGAGAATCATTCTATAGCATTTCAGCTCAAAAGCCCCTATTCTCTTTCTTAAGGACTGGGAGATAGTCCACGACTCACATCCGTATGTAGCCACTGGGAAGATGCATGCTCTCAAAATTCTAATTTTGATCTCCTTGCTGGTGCTTAACCATAGACTTTATAAGTGTTTAATCTTTGCATTGCAATGGCCATCCTTCTTTTAATTTCTGTCAAACAGTCTCCATGTTTATTATAGAGCCTAGATATTCAAAGTTTGTGACATTTTCAATTTTTTCCTTTATTGTTATTTTTGGGTGACGGCCAGTTATATCCTTGGACATTATTATCGTTTTCTTTAAATTCAAGAACAGATTTTGATCTTCACTGTGCCTGTGGACAGACAATATTAAATTTTCTATTCCCTTTACGCTGTTCGAAAGGAGGACTATGTCATCTGCGTAGCGGAGTTCCGAGATAGGGTTGCCATCAATTTTGAGCGGATCATAACTGTCACAAGTCTGGTCATTTTTGACATTTCTCATTATATTTTTTGCATATATATTGAATAGGTATGGTGAGAGAATGCACCCCTGCCTCACTCCCATTTTCACCTCGAACCAATCAGATGTTTCACCAGCTGCTCTGATGGCTGCTTGTTGTTCTTGATATAGATTTTCAATTAAATGCACTAAATGCGCTGGAAACCCCATACTTTTCATAATAGTCCACAATTCGTGGTGCTGGACACAATCAAATGCCTACCTATAATCAATGAATCATGCATAAAGATCTAGGTTGTTTTCTCTGCATTACATTTTTTTTTAATCTTGTAATAAAGATGTGATCCCTAGTTCCTCTACCCTGTCTGAAATCCGCTTGTGCTTCATTTAGCTCATAATGTAATTTCCTTTCAATCCTCTTCATGATAATTCGTCAGAGGATTTTGCTAGCATGACTTATTATTGCGATGGTACGGTAGTTGGAGCATGGTTTCAGATTTCCTTTCTTTGGGAGAGGGATATAGACTGTTCTTTTCCACGCTTTAGGCCAAATGCCACTGTTCCAGATCTTCGAGCACAGTGCATGGTAGATTCGGACGCTGGCTTCTCCTCCTGCTTGAATTAGTTCTGCTGGTATTTCGTCACAACCTGGTGACTTTCCTGTCTTCAGGCTGTGTATTGCTGATCATACCTCATCCAGTAACGGCTCTGGTTCTTTTTCACAATTTTCACAAGTCGTTTTTGAATTACCTGTCTCATCCTAAACTAACAGCAAACCAGACCAGATCAGCAAACTCAACAGAAAGCAACAAACAACAATTTTCTATGTACGAACAGGACACTGAAGCCTTAACTACCACATGCATAAAATAAAGATTGAACAGTCCCCAAAGTGTAACTGTCAAACAGGACCACAAACACCTGAGCACATTCTGCAGACATGCCCACTCTACCTACAACTTCGGAAAGACACCTGGCCTCAAGGGCAAAGTGTGCAGAGCAAGCTTGGGGAACCATGAACGACCTGTTGCTGACATGCAACCCACCCCTGGGTAATCTCAGCATACGAAACCAAACGTACAGAAGAAGAAGAAGACCAACCCCTCTGTTTATTTAAAGGAAGGACGTATACACACCGGAACCTACCAATCAAATCTTCTTTTCTTCTTTTGTCAAAATCTGCTTGTGCCGCTAGGCGTCGCAGTCTATCAGATGATCGGCAACCGAGCCAGGGCGCGTTCAGTCACTTCATATGCCGTGATGTTATAAAGTCTCAAGTTGTCCGTGACTCCTTCAATCCATCTTCTTCTTGGTCTTCCCCTGCCTCTTGGTGTTTCGATTTTCATGTTGTATGCTCTTGATGCTGGCATCGTTGGTTCCATTCTCACTAGGTGACCAAACCATTTCATTCTTTGCTTCTCAATAAATTTAACGATGGGTATGGTTCCAACAGTTCCTGTAATCACATCTTTTCTCACTCTATCTCTTTTCTGGTTTTTTTCGCAGCCATTCTCAAACATCTCATTTCACAGGTGGTTAGTCTTCTCTCGTGTTCTTTTGTTAATGTCCAAGTCTGACATTGATATTCTAATGTCGGTATAAAGATTGTATTTATAATTTGTCTTTTTATCTCAGCTGGGACAGCAGCTGTTACTTGATTAATTCATAGAGATTTTAAGGAAACGCAGAAGAAAGTGGAAATCATGGCACACAGGTCACGGGTCACGGTCCACAGGTCACGGGTCACGACACACGGGTCACGGCACACGGGTCACGTGTCACATGGTCCTTCAGACGGAAGAGAACAAGTATCAGTCTGCGCACCCGATACAGGACAAATCAGTTTGACACACCGCCCGATAGAGGACATGTCAATCTGACACACCGCCGGATAGAGGGCATGTCAATCTGACACACCGCCGGATAGAGGACATGTCAATCTAACACACCACCCGATAGAGGACATGTCAATCTGACACACCGCCTGATAGAGGACATGTCAATCTGACACACCGCCCGATAGAGGACATGTCAATCTGACACACCGCCTGATAGAGGACATGTCAGTCTAACACACCGCCCGATAGAGGACATGTCAGTCTGATGTACCGCCCGATAGAGGACATGTCAATCTGACACACCGCCCGATAGAGGACATGTCAGTCTGATGTACCGCCCGATAGAGGACATGTCAATCTGACACACCGCCCGATAGAGGACATGTCAATCTGACACACCGCCCGATAGAGGACATGTCAGTCTGATCTACCGCCCGATAGAGGACATGTCAGTCTGACACACCGCCCGATAGAGGACATGTCAATCTGACACACCGCCCGATAGAGGACATGTCAATCTGACACACCGCCTGATAGAGGACATGTCAATCTAACACACCGCCCGATAGAGGGCATGTCAGTCTAACACACCGCCCGATAGAGGACATGTCAATCTGACACACCGCCCGATAGAGGACATGTCAATCTGACACACCGCCCGATAGAGGACATGTCAGTCTGATGTACCGCCCGATAGAGGACATGTCAGTCTGATGTACCGCCCGATAGAGGACATGTCAGTCTGACACACCGTCCGATAGAGGACATGTCAGTCTAATGTACCGCCCGATAGAGGACATGTATATTGTACAGTCAAGTCTTTGTCAGATGAGAGAAGATGTATATCGTACAGTCAAGTCTTTGTCAGATGAGAGAAGATGTATATCGTACAGTCAAGTCTTTGTCAGATGAGAGAAGATGTATATCGTACAGTCAAGTCTTTGTCAGATGAGAGAAGATGTATATCGTACAGTCAAGTATTGTCAGATGGGAGAAGATGTATATCGTACAGTCAAGTCTTTGTCAGATGGGAGAAGATGTATATCGTACAGTTAAGTATTGTCAGGTTTGAGAAGATGTATATCGTACAGTCAAGTATTGTCAGATGGGAGAAGATGTATATCGTACAGTCAAGTCTTTGTCAGATGGGAGAAGATGTATATCGTACAGTCAAGTATTGTCAGATGGGAGAAGATGTATATCGTACAGTCAAGTCTTTGTCAGACGGGAGAAGAGGTGAGAGAAGATGTAAGTCGTACAGTCAAGTCTTTTTCAGATGGGAGAAGAGGTGAGAGAAGATGTAAATCGTACATTCAAGTCTTTGTCAAATGAGAAAAGATGTATATCGTACAGTCAAATCTTTGTCAGATGGGAGAAGAAGTATATCGTACAGTTAAGTCTTGTCAGATGAGAGAAGATGTATATCCTACAGTCCAGTCTTGTCACATGGGAGAAGATGTATATCGTACAGTTAAGTCTTTGTCAGATGGGAGAAGATGTGTATCTTACAGTCAAGTATTGTAGACAGTGGTCAGATGTCAGATGAGAGACGTTTCATATTGTACAGTCAAACAAGGTCAAGGTCAAAGTCTCGCCACTCGCGGATAGGGTATATGGTGCTAGAGCCATCTTAGATAGGCCACTCGCCACTGGTTGGTTGTCGAGGTCAGTGTCACGCTCAACACTCGCCACTGGTTGGTTGTTGGGGTCAGTGTCACGCTCAACACTCGCCATTGTTTAGTTTTCGGGGTCAGTGTCACGCGCAACACTCGCCATTGTTTGGTTGTCGGGGTCAGTGTCACGCTCAACACTCGCCATTGGTTGGTTGTCGGGGTCAGTGTCACGCTCAACACTCGCCATTTTTTGGTTGTCGGGGTCAGTGTCACGCGCAACACTCGCCATTGTTTGGTTGTCGGGGTCAGTGTCACGCTCAACACTCGCCATTGGTTGGTTGGTTGTCGGGGTCAGTGTCACGCGCAACACTCGCCATTGGTTGGTTGTTGGGGTCAGTGTCACGCTCAACACTCGCCATTGTTTGGTTGTCGGGGTCAGTGTCACGCTCAACACTCGCCACTGGCTGGTTGTTAGGGGTCAGTGTCACGCTCAACACTCGCCATTGGTTGGTTGTTGGGGTCCGTATCACGCTCAACACTCGCCACTGGCTGGTTGTTGGGGTCAGTGTCACGCTCAACATTCGCCATTGGTTGGTTGTTGGGGTCAGTGTCACGCTCAACACTCGCCATTGGTTGGTTGTTGGGGTCAGTGTCACGCTCAACACTCGCCATTGGTTGGTTGTTGGGGTCAGTGTCACGCTCAACACTCGCCATTGGTTGGTTTTGAGGTCCGTGTCACGCTCAACACTCGCTATTGGTTGGTTGTTGGGGTCAGTGTCACGCTCAACACTCGCCATTGGCTGGTTGCTGGGGTCAAACGCACGGTCCACATTCGACATTGGCTGTTTGTTGGGGTCAATGGCACGGCCAAAAATCACAGCTGGCTGGTTGCTGAGGTAATGTCACGGTCAACAATCACCATTGGCTGGTTGCTGAGGTAATGTCACGATCAACAATCTCCATTGGTTGGTTGCTGAGGTAATGTCACGATCAACAATCTCCATTGGCTGGTTGCTGAGGTAATGTCACGATCAACAATCTCCATTGGCACAGTAGTCTATGGATACTTGTGTATTTCAACTCAGTAGTCTTTGGACGTATAAAAATGTTAGCACATTACCCTAAAAACCTATTGTTGTTTGCTCATGAACCTACAAACATTATCGCACGGTTTTGTATATTCCTATGAACACCAAATGTAGCTAACAGGTATGGTTACATAATATGTGGATCAGACAAAACATTCGACACTACACCTGAACTGAATGACTCGATCAGGCAAAACATGTGACACGACACGTGAACAGAATGACTCGATCAGACAAAACATGTGACACGACACATGAACACAATGACTGTACTAGACAAAACATGTGACACGACACATGAACACAATGACTGTACCAGACAAAACATGTGACACGACACGTGAACACAATGACTGTACCAGACAAAACATGTGACACGACACGTGAACACAATGACTGTACCAGACAAAACATGTGACACGACACGTGAACAGAATGACTGTACCAGATGGTTAGAAACATGTGACACATTCGACACGTGAACACAATGACTGTACCAGACAAAACATGTGACACGACACGTGAACAGAATGACTGTACCAGACAAAACATGTGACACGACACGTGAACACAATGACTGTACTAGACAAAACATGTGACACGACACGTGAACACAATGACTGTACCAGACAAAACATGTGACACGACACATGAACACAATGATTGTACCAGACAAAACATGTGACACGACACATGAACACAATGACTGTACCAGACAAAACATGTGACACGACACATGAACACAATGATTGTACCAGTCAAAACATGTGACACGACACATGAACACAATGACTTTACCAGACAAAACATGTGACACGACACATGAACACAATGACTGTACTAGACAAAACATGTGACACGACACGTGAACACAATGACTGTACCAGACAAAACATGTGACACGACACATGAACACAATGATTGTACCAGACAAAACATGCGACACGACACATGAACACAATGATTGTACCAGACAAAACATGTGACACGACACGTGAACACAATGACTGTACCAGACAAAACATGTGACACGACACATGAACACAATGATTGTACCAGACAAAACATGTGACACGACACGTGAACACAATGACTGTACTAGACAAAACATGTGACACGACACATGAACACAATGACTGTACCAGACAAAACATGTGACACGACACATGAACACAATGACTGTACTAGACAAAACATGTGACACGACACATGAACACAATGACTGTACCAGACAAAACATGTGACACGACACGTGAACACAATGACTGTACTAGACAAAACATGTGACACGACACGTGAACACAATGACTGTACCAGACAAAACATGTGACACGACACGTGAACACAATGACTGTACTAGACAAAACATGTGACACGACACGTGAACACAATGATTGTACCAGACAAAACATGTGACACGACACGTGAACACAATGACTGTACCAGACAAAACATGTGACACGACACATGAACACAATGACTGTACTAGACAAAACATGTGACACGACACGTGAACACAATGATTGTACCAGACAAAACATGTGACACGACACGTGAACACAATGACTGTACCAGACAAAACATGCGACACGACACCTCAACAGGATGACAGGATTCGACAAAAAAATTTGACAAAAATGTGGCGGAATGGACCACACAGTGGTGTGTGCCGTGTTCAGGTGACACCCCAGGGTTGACACAAAGGTCAGTGCCGTGACTGGCCAAGTCTGTGCTGTTTGCACGGTGAAACTATCGCTCAGTAGAAACCACTTCGCCACGACAAGAAAGAGTGAACTCTGTTGCAGACAAGTTCGCAACACGATTACCCTTTTGGGGACTGAGCAGGTGAACGGGTCAAAAGACAAGAGGTGAAAGAACACAGGAGATTCGGTGTATAGCGTGCAGACGGAGCAGACGTGTTAGCGGGACAGTGATAGTATATTAGAGTTAGGATATATCTTTGGTGACTGCATAGATTATTTACAGTGTTCTGTTAGAATAGAATAATCTTTTGTGCTGTGTATTTAACTGGTACAAGGTATTGTGTTGTGCCACAATAGGTAACTAGTGTCCAGTTACTTCTGACCAGTTAGATCGTTTAGGTACATGTTCTGTGAGAGAATGTCTAACCTTGTCACATGGGACCCTGCACTAGACAGAGGCTGTAACATCTTGGAAGGTCAGTGTGTCGATAGGTAAGAGCGTATCCCGTGCCAGTGTGGTTTGTGCACCAGAGATTGCCTGTGGAACGTACTGGAGAGCGAGGCGACTGAATAGCTCGTTCGGCCAGAGGGTCCAGGCAATAGGTGGCCACACAGCGTGAAGTCAACTGTCTATTGTATTACCTGTACTTTCAATAAAGATTGTCGTGTGTGCTCTGTGTGCGTTTGGGTTCAGTGTGTGTTAAAGGTTAGTTTGTCTGTCACAGGCCCAGTTACGAGCCACGGACCAGAAAGGTCACCCAGAGGTCTGTGACAGTGAGCACGGCGACTAGATCAGACAAAACATGGGACACGGCATATGAACACAATGAGTGAATCAGACAAAACATGTGACACGACACGTGAACAGAATAACCTGGTTAGACAAAACATGTGACACGATACTTCAACAAAATGACCCGGTCAGACAAAACATGTGACACGACATAGTAACAAGTTAAATGGATGAGACTAGATTCTTACCTGGAAGGGCGTCGGCAGAGCTAGAGAGCGGATAGCTCGGCGGCTGTAGGGCATGGACGGCTGACAGTGAGGGCAGGGACGCTTTTGTGTATGGTGATGGCGGACTGGCGTAGGCGACGCAGGCGGCTGAGTTACAGGGACAGAGTGTCAGCGAGCGACAGGACTCGGGCACAGCACTCAGCTGGAAGTTTTCTGTGGACATATGGACATCAATGTCAATGTCACAGCAGATGATTCAACTAGTACAACATGACAACGCTAGATGTCACAGACCTGGATATCAATGAACATGTCACAGCAGAGGATTCAACTAGTACAAGATGACAACGTTGGATGTCACAGACCTGGATATCAATGAACATGTTACAGCAGATGAATTAACTAGTACAACATGACAACGCTAGATGTCACAGACCTGGACATTAATTACCATGTCACAGCAGATGATTCAACTAGTACAACATGTCACCGCTAGATGTCACAGACCTGGACATCAATGAACATGTCACAGCAGATGATTCAACTAGTACAACATGACAACGTTGGATGTCATAGATCTGGATATTACAGCGATAGATATTAAAGCAATAGTTTTACACTAGTAACCTGAGGGGTGGGGGGAGGGGGGCGTGGTTGTGATCGTAAGAAAGTAGGTACATTCATGTGACAACGGCAACATGTAAGAAATCAAGTAAACTTTTCTGACAACGGCAACATGTAAGAAATCAAGTACACTTATCTGACAACGGCAACATTTAAGAAAGCAAGTACACTTATGCGACAACGGCAACATTTAAGAAAGCAAGTACACTTATGTGACAACGGCAACATGTAAGAAATCAAGTAAACTTTTCTGACAACGGCAACATGTAAGAAATCAAGTACACTTATCTGACAACGGCAACATTTAAGAAAGCAAGTACACTTATGCGACAACGGCAACATTTAAGAAAGCAAGTACACTTATGTGACAACGGCAACATTTAAGAAAGCAACCTCACTTATGTGACGACAGGAACATGTAAGAAAGCAAGTACACTTATGTGACAACGGCAACATTTAGGAAAGCAAGTACACTTATGTGACAACGGGAACATGTAAGAAAGCAAGTACACTTATGCGACAACGGCAACATTTAAGAAAGCAAGTACATTTATGTGACAACGGCAGCATTTAAGAAAGCAAGTACACTTATGTGACAACGGCAACATTTAAGAAAGCAAGTACACTTATGTGACAACGGGAACATGTAAGAAAGCAAGTACACTTATGTGACAACGGGAACATGTAAGAAAGCAAGTATACTTATGTGACAACGGCAACATTTAAGAAAGCAAGTACACTTATGTGACAACGGCAACATTTAAGAAAGCAAGTAGACTTATGTGACAACGGCAACATGTAAGAAAGCAAGTACACTTATGTGACAACGGCAACATTTAAGAAAGCAAGTAAACTTATGTGACAACGGCAACATTTAAGAAAGCAAGCTCACTTATGTGACAACAGGAACATGTAAGAAAGCAAGTACACTTATGTGACAACAGGAACATGTAAGAAAGTAAGTACACTCATGTGACAACGGCAACATTTAAGAAAGCAAGTACACTTATGTGACAACGGGAACATGTAAGAAAGCAAGTACACTTATGTGACAACGGCAACATTTAAGAAAGCAAGTACACTTATGTGAAAATGACAACATTTAAGAAAGCAAGTACACTTATGTGACAACGGCAACATCTAAGAAAGCAAGTACACTTGTGTGACAACGGCAACATCTAAGAAAGCAAGTACACTTATGTGACAACAGGAACATGTAAGAAAGCAAGTACACTTATGTGACAACAGGAACATTTAAGAAAGCAAGTACACTTATGTGACAACGGGAACATGTAAGAAAGCAAGTACACTTATGTGACAACGGCAACATTTAAGAAAGCAAGTACACTTATGTGACAACGGGAACATGTAAGAAAGCAAGTACACTTATGTGACAACGGCAACATTTAAGAAAGCAAGTACACTTATGTGACAACGGCAACATGTAAGAAAGCAAGTACACTTATGTGACAACGGCAACATGTAAGAAAGCAAGTACACTTATGTGACAACGGCAACATTTAAGAAAGCAAGTACACTTATGTGACAACGGGAACATGTAAGAAAGCAAGTACACTTATGTGACAAAGGCAACATCTAAGAAAGCAAGTACACTTATGTGACAACGGCAACATTTAAGAAAGCAAGTACACTTATGTGACAACGGCAGCATTTAAGAAAGCAAGCACACTTATGTGACAAAAGCAACATTTAAGAAAGCAAGTACACTTATGTGACAACGGCAACATCTAAGAAAGCAAGTACACTTATGTAACAACGGGAACATGTAAGAAAGCAAGTACACTTATGTGACAACGGCAACATTTAAGAAAGCAAGTATACTTATGTGACAACGGCAACATTTAGGAAAGCAAGTACACTTATGTGACAACGGGAACATGTAAGAAAGCAAGTATACTTATGTGATAACGGAAACATGTAAGAAAGCAAGTACACTTATGTGACAACGGCAACATTTAAGAAAGCAAGTACACTTATGTGACAACGGCAACATTTAAGAAAGCAAGTATACTTATGTGACAACGGGAACATGTAAGAAAGCAAGTACACTTATGTGACAACGGCAACATGTAAGAAAGCAAGTACACTTATGTGACAACGGCAACATGTAAGAAAGCAAGTACACTTATGTGACAACGGGAACATGTAAGAAAGCAAGTACACTTATGTGACAACGGCAATATGTAAGAAAGCAAGTACACTTATGTGACAACATGGAAATGTAAGAAAGCAAGTACACTTATGTGACAACGGAAACATGTATGAAAGCAAGTACACTTGTGTGACAACGGCAAAAGACTTGTAGATCACTGGAGACATGAAGTGACTTGACTTGGGACACGACTTGTAGATGACTGGAAACATGAAGTGACTTGACCTGGGACACGACTTGTAGATGACTGGAGACATGAAGTGACTTGACTTGGGACACGACTTGTAGATGACTGGAGACATGAAGTGACTTGACCCAAGACACGACTTGGAAGCATTCTTGGTGACATCAAACATGACTTGGGACCTGATGGCAATGACTTGGAACATGACTTGCACCTGAAGAGTGACCACGTAATCTAATATCTGGTTAATACCCACGGGATAATAGAGCGACATGTCAGATAGTTTCTTGCTGCCCAATAGGCGTGACATGTCAGATAGTTTCTTGCTGCCCAATAGACGTGACATGTCAGATAGTTTCTTGCTGCCCAATAGACGTGACATGTCAGATAGTTTCTTGCTGCTCAATAGGCGTGACATGTCAGATAGTTTCTTGCTGCCCAATAGACGTGACATGTCAGATAGTTTCTTGCTGCCCAATAGACGTGACATGTCAGATAGTTTCTTGTTGCCCAATAGACGTGACATGTCAGATAGTTTCTTGCTGCTCAATAGACGTGACATGTCAGATAGTTTCTTGCTGCCCAATAGACGTGACATGTCAGTTAGTTTCTTGCTGCTCAATAGACGTGACATGTCAGATAGTTTCTTGCTGCCCAATAGACGTGAAATGTCAGACAGTTTCTTGCTGCCCAATAGACGTGACATGACAGATAGTTTTTTGCTGCCTAATAGACTTGACATGTCAGATAATTTCTTGCTGCTCAATAGACGTGACATGTCAGATAGTTCTTGCTGCCCAATAGACGTGACATGTCAGATAGTTTCTTGCTGCCCAATAGAGTGACATGTCAGATAGTTTCTTGCTGCCCAATAGACGTGACATGTCAGTTAGTTTCTTGCTGCTCAATAGACGTGACATGTCAGATAGTTTCTTGCTGCCCAATATACGTGACATGTCAGACAGTTTCTTGCTGCCCAATAGACGTGACATGTCAGATAGTTTCTTGCTCCTAAATAGACGTGACATGTCAGATAGTCTCTTGCTGCTCAATAGACGTGACATGTCAGATAACTACCTATCAATCAAGAGACATGACATGCGAAGTAGTTTCTTGTTACGTAACATTTCAGACATCTAATATAACCACCTGTCTATCAACAGACGTGACATCTAATATAACGACATGTCTATCAACAGACGTGACATCTAATATAACCACCTGTCTATCAACAGACGTGACATCTAATATAACGACATGTCTATCAACAGACGTGACGTCTAATATAACCACCTGTCTATCAACAGACGTGACATCTAATATAACGACATGTCTATCAACAGACGTGACATCTAATATAACCAACTGTCTATCAACAGACGTGACATCTAATATAAAGACATGCCTATCAACAGACGTGACGTCTAATATAACCACCTGTCTATCAACAGACGTGACATCTAATATAACGACATGATTATCAACAGACGTGCCATCTAATATAACCACACGACTATCAACAGACGTGACATCTAATATAACGACATGTCTATCAACAGACGTGATATCTCATATAACCACATGTCTATCAACAGACGTGACATCTAATATAACAACATGTGTATCAACAGACGTGACATATAATTTAGCGACGTGTCTATCAACAGACGTGACATTTATTATAACGACATGACTGTCAAAAGACGTGACATCTAATATAACGACATGTCTATCAATATAGTGACATGTTATATAACCACATGTCTATCAACACAGTGACATGTCATATAACCACCTTTCTATCAACATAGTGACAAGTAAAATAGTTTTCATGCTGTTTAGCAGACGTGACATGTTAGATAGGGAATTATAAACGTTGTGTTGAAAATACCGATGCATCCAAACAATCAACGTGACATCTAAAATAAAAAAAAAGTGAATCAACAACGTGACACCTGAAATATCACAAAGAAGGACGCCTGACAGCGGACTCAAAATGAAACCTTGCAACGAAGAATAAACATGGCGTGTCGATGAAACACGCCAGCCGTGCAGTGTAACAGTAAGTGCACCACAGACGACCAGCGTGACATGTGATAATGTCGACCTGAGATAGAACAATATCGGGGATCTATGGAACTGATCATCAGTAACCAAGTAATACAAGAGCAGACAACAACAAATGTTCAACAAAGTATGTGAAACACACACATGAATAAATATGCAAAAAAG